GAAAAGTTGAGAAAAAAACTCGAAAACTGCCGACATTATCAAGCCACTGGGAGGTGTCGTTGTGTGGCTTTCTTGACGAGGCGAGAGGAGGTGCTAACTTCCACGCCGAGTTCTTGAATGGAGCTTTTTCTAAATGTCCTGATTCTAGCACAGTTCGCACGTGGTGGCCGTCTGCCAAATTCGTCACCTCAGTCCGCGCGCTTCTTACCCGCCTGGTATGGCGTGCCACTCCCATGTTGGTGCGTCCCGTTACGGTGCGTGTCGGTTAGTGCTTGGTCTCCCCTTTCATGCTAAGGGTGACGCACACGTCTAAAACTGGAGCACCAAGTTGTCTAGTGTCTTAATAAACACACAAGTAAACATCCTGTGGGGTAAGTGGAAAATTAAGGACCCAGACCACTAGCGATGCTCGTGGGGTTATCAAAGCTAGAGACATTAACTCTTTGTTGTGGTCCCCACAATGTGATCTTGAACCACGCCGGGGCCACTTTGTTGGATCTGGCCCGATTACGATTCCCTGATACCCGCGATGAAGGAAAAGACCGTAGTGGACGTGGACACAGCCGTTTACTTCATATCTCAACCAACCACATTCTTAAGGTTGAATCAGTATGGAAATGAAAGTAACCATGGCGGAACTTTCTCCTGTTTTAAAACAAAGTCTGTGATAACCACACGACAAGATCTCGATTATACCCAAAAACCACGCATTCCCCAGGCTTAATTGAGGCTAAGCAGGTATTAGATCCTTGTGAGAGAAATATTTATCGCTTCCGTGAACGCCAATCATCTGACGACCCCAAGGTAATTTGAACATGTCCCCAGAGCGTGATGCCTAAACCATCTCGGGGTCGTTTGAGGTGATAAGGCGCTTAGACCATCAACAGTGGATTAGAAACTAAACGTGGAAAGAATCACTCAAAAAATTACCTTAGATTTGTCTAGGTTTAAGCTGAACTAAATCCCAGAAGCCAGGTATGGTGAGGTGAAAATGGTGGATGATGACTTTGTTTGTCAGGGATGGCATAACTTTCAATTTTTAACTCAGAGAATTGCGAAATGCACTAAATGCCTTATTGTAAAGCATTTTAATACCACTTTCCCGGCGAAGATGAAAAGTGTATCATCTACTCGTCGTCATATCGGAAATCTAATGTTAGTAATTAAAAATTCGGATCTGGATAATTTTTGGGTGGTAAAACTGGTAGGAACACTAGCGAAGTATTTAGACAAGCGACAACTAGAGCTAAATTGAATACGTGGAATTGGTGTGACAAGACTTTCCATGACCTGAGAACCAATTTTAATCACCGTGTTAAGGGGCGTGGGTCACCGCCTCACGTTGACATTGACAATTGGCCTTGCGTTGGAAATTGGTCCCAATTTTAATGTTAAATTATGAAAACGGAGCTTGGGTTTTACTAAAAAAAAAACAGATCCTTGTTAACAGGTTTGTACCTTCTAATTTTGTATTATTTCTTATCGGCCAAGTAGAGCACCCACTTCGTGCCACATTTTGCAAGCACTGACAACGTGTTTCCATTAAGCAAATTCCCTAAATCTTCAAAAAAGAAGGGAACGAAATAAGTCATTTCACTTCCCATTGCAGAGAACTTTTCCAAATTTACTGGCCCCCTTGACAATGGGTACTTGTTCGTTAGTAGGTTACCAGCGATACCTAGTACATCCCAGCGTTTCCTTTTACCGAAAATTTGCCCAAAACCAAACCAACCCATAGATTAGCTTCTAGGCGGTGCTTATTAATCGTTTTTTTTCTTAAATGGGGTTTATTTTCGTCGTCGTAGTAAGTTACAAGATACAGTGGCTGGAAGAAATGGGCCTGAAATTTCGTAAAGATCAATGACAATCTAGGCTGCATTATTCGGCAAGATTTAACTACGTGAGGTGGCTGTTAATCTCGATGGTGGCATTCCAATCAATTAAACTAGATTTAGGAAGACTTTGTGTGTCCAGTATCTCAATAAAGTCCGCATTTAGCTCAAAGTCTAGACGTGCGGTCAATGGGTGAACGAGACTGTCACTTACCGTCTGCTGGGGCCCAAGAGACAAGCACGATGCATCTGTAGTCGGGGCTCGTACAAAACAGACGCCCAAATTTTGCAAATTTTTCTCGGGTAGCCATGACCTTTGCAAGTCCGCGTCAGACGTGAGTTGTGGCCGGTGGATTTACACGAGGGCTGAGTTTGTCGTAAACCTTAATGCCACGGTGTCCTAAATTTGGCATTTCAGCGCTCCAAGGCATCTACAAGTGCATCCAATCTTTTAGCACGTGCTTGTTTACGTGGTCAGGGGCGTAGGGCCATGTAGGCAACTGTGACTTTGTACTTTCCCTGCAGTATTTTTCATTTAATTGCGAATTGGACAAATTATTTCCCTTAAGAACGCGAAAACCAAATATGCAAATGGGCCATGTTTTGATCAAGGTAAAGCCATCAATGCTTCATTGGCCAGTTCCATAACACACGGCACAATTATGGCACATAAAACATTGCCAAAAAAGTTCACGATCTCTCATTGTGAAAGTCAAATTTTGCATATTTATGAGAAGTTATCGACTTGAATCTTAGTGTGAACTAAATCACTAATCGGAGTTCTCAGACATTAAGATTCGTCTTGAAATCATAAATTACAGCTACGTCGAGGGTTAGGGTGTTAAATGTGTTTATTTTTATAATCCCATGATTGACAGTGGAAAAAGTAGGATGAATCACTTTCCCTGCTGAGGCCTACGATGTGCCGTTTGCTTCCAGCACAGGTGAAAACAGCCACGTACGGGTGTACCGAGGGCGCGTCAAATAGACCCCCCCTCACGCCACCGACTGGTGCACCAGTTACCTCCACAACATCCACCTAAGCCCTGGTTTTTTCCCACATAATATTTTATTTAAAAAACTGGGCATTTCTGGTGCTATGTGGTTAGCTACGCCACTTACAAGGAAAGGTAGCTAAGGCATAGATGGTGTAGTTTAGTGATCAGGATCGCAATTTTTTTCTGAAAAAGGGGGGTTTCTATACATTTTTTATGCAGCTAAAAAATATCCGAAAATAATACATACATCAGTGGTGTTGGGGACCTGTAAAAATCAGTGTTTTCATTAATTTGAAGCACGCAGTGGCAACAAATAGGAGGGTATAAATGAGTCTTGCAGGCTCTTATTATAAGATGTTCAGTGTAATTAGAGTGACTCAGTGGAATGCCGGTGGATTTATGTTACGTTTGCCCGTAACAAAGAGAAAACCACTCAGATAACGGTACCAGATCCCTTGATGGCGCTAGAACCGACCTTCCCACGATAATACAGGAACAAGACCAGAGCTCGTGTAGAGAGCTTCAATCACGTCAGCCACGTGCGGAGTGAGTTGTCAAAAGTGGACACTAATTCAAGTCACGGTTGACCTTGACCTGATAAAAAGCGTAATAAAATACATGTTAGTGAAGTAGTGTAAATAGTGCCAGAAACCAACGACGAGTAATCTTGGGGAATCGTGGATCCCAAATAGTGTACTCATGACAGGACCCCATACATACCTCACTGGATGTCGACCCTAATTATTGGCTTGATTAAGGCAATATCTGAACCGAGTCAGAGAATTTCACGTCTCACTTGACTTATCACCAGAACACGTTGAATAGTGTCTTGAACATGAAGTCGTGGACTATGAATAGAGAGGTCTTAGTGACTGTAATATTCACAGAAATTGCTGGAATTGTATCCGGACAGCCGTGTCGGTTGAACAGAAGGCGTGTGTGCTCTAAACATACCTATTACTACTGGCAGCACGAAGGGTTCGTTGACATAAAAATTTAGTCTCAGTTACCAATTATAATCAATTAAGCGAATTTAAAAAAAAATTATATGGGACTTGGAAACGTGTAAAGTTTCCATTAATGTCGGATTCATCATAAACCTCACACCTGCCCAGAAATTCCTTGATGGCGTCGATTCGGCGACTAAGGTAAAAGTCATATAAGACGTCGGAAGACTATATCGAAGCAAGTCGATCTGGTTAGAAAGGCGTTTGTTGAGACAGGCAAGCAGTTTGCGAAAAAGGTCCCTCAGGAATCCTGATTGCAGCGCTGGGGTACAGCAAACACCACCCTGAGCAAATCCAGCTCTTTCACCAACAACGGATATTTCCGCGCAAAAATCGTTTGTCTAGGCTTCTTGCATTCCAGACGTCCATCATCGCATAAATGTTGCACTGTTACGGCTCTCAAGGCCGGGTGGGCTACACAAATATCGGTAATCGATTATTCATTTAAAGTACAAAGTCCTGATCACGTCAGTAGCACCAGTCACATTCGCCTAATTTTTGGCGTGGTGTGTATGTAACACGACTGGTGTCTCTTTTTATGTTGAAGATCGAACCAGACCTCACATATTCCAGCTCGAGATGCCGATGTAAGTGGACACAGCTGGATTAGTTGAAAGAAGTTGTCCGCAGAGCCTCCAATGACCAACTCTGTCTGTAGACCCAAAATGACGGTACTTCAAATTCTAGTTTGCATGAACTATGTTCTAGATCATTAGACGACCAATGCAACCGGTAAAAGCCGCGTATTTTCTGACCTACAACAAATTGCCAACGTCTGTGAGCACCCCACAGAGTGAGTAACCTACAATACCGAGAAATACCAATCGTATCTTTGATTCTAGATGTCTACGGAAACACCACAGAACATTCTAATGCAACAGTCAACGCTCTAGATTGTCCTTCCACTCTAATCACCCCAAATTTGACACTCAGCCACACCATGTCAACCCCATTCCACGGCGACTAGAAGCGGCAAAAAGACGATACATTCTGTCGTAACAGAAAATTTAATCCAGTTGATTGTCTATCCAAGGGGGAGGAGGAGGAGTTGTAGGGGTGACTTAACGATCGCTAATATTTAGTGCAATAAAAAGGTATAATGCTCATGATTCATCGATGGCAATAAGGTGTGTCCGCGGGGGAGGGGGGGAGGGCGAAGAAATCTAGTCGGTGAAATCTTTCACGTCGGGCACACCAAGCACATGACGCTCGGCCGAAGTGCCCAACTCGATGATGCGCAGCGAGTTCGTGGCTCCCGAGCCAGCCTTCCAGCCAGTCACAATCACCACGTTGTCGCCGTCGTTGAGGAAGCGGCGTTTGCGTCCGTAGTCGATGGCACAGCTGATGCGGCGGTCCATGTCCTCGGCCCACATCTCCGTGCGCGGTTCTAAATGCAACAAGTCGGGGAAAACACTAGAATTTGGATTGGTCAGTCTGAAAAGCATCAACACATCGTCATGAAAGGGACATAAACTAAAGCATCAGCTGCTTGCCTGTGGTTGCAAAATGGCACCTATCTGGAACATAAATCCGTCAAATTCTAGTTTAAACGAGATAGCAGACGTGATAAGCTACAAATCGTCATTTTAAACGACCCAAGTTACGCGGTGGCGTAAATTGCACACACGCAAAATCAGAAGAGCGAAAACATGAGCGTTTGATGATGAAACAAAACAGGAGACTCGATAGGGATTATTCTACGTCACCTTGTAGCAAAATCAAGACATTTAAACGCATATTAGTCAATGCCATCGACAGTTGGATTCTAACGTGATACCAATAGCATAAATAAACACGTCAAGCGAGGTTTTTCAACAGTCTCCTTTCAAACAGGAAATGATTACCCGCAAATTACTGCAAAACAGGCATTTGATGTGAGAACGCTCGCTTCAAAACAACGTGATGTTTTTAGAATCGCAACAAAGATGTTTTGTTCCTTAATATTGCCTTCACGACGTCCTGCGTAAGCACACGAAACGCTTTAGTGTTACTTGCGAAAACAAGGCTTTTGTGGAGGGCGATATTTAGACTAACCGCCGACTGGACTAAGAAACAGCGAATCAAGACTGTGGAAAATTTTCAAAGGAAGTGCCACTGCGCTTCACATAGCACACTCCAACGTCAACACGTTGGACTTTGTAGAACTGCCAAATCCAGGTGAATTACCCAACCACGCACAACAACCGAACGCACTTGGCGTTATTACCTTAACGACCAAGAGGTGCAAATGCCCTTTTAAAAGAACCTGACCTGCTGATTAATGAGTAATTGGTACTTACGCTCTCATGCGATACGTCCAAAAAACACAAGGCCAACATGGCCACACCAATCCTACAGCGAGTTAGTTCGGTTAGGAAATCGTTTGTGTAAGTTGAATTGGGGGACAAGGATTTTATGAAATTTGATTGGTGGTGGAGCACTTTAATCATTTAGAAATAATGATCAGTTCAGCCTACGACAAAAGCATGATTCGAAAGCAGCCGATTAGAGGGTTTTCATGTTTCCTTAATTAAAACCATTAGAACCGCAAGAGTAAGACCACTTGTGATTAGTTGGACCAGTGCCACCATCTCACAGGAGCATGTAATGCTAACCGCACAACACTGAACGCGGAGAGAGCACACTTCCGTTTCGGTGTTGAAACGAAATTATTTTAGCTAGTAATTAGGTGATGTGAAGGCACAACACGCGACAACGTACCTCCGTAGAAGATTGGATGACAAGCACGGAAGAGGTGGAGCTGTCTTGCGATGACAGCGTGACGAGTGACAGCGATGATTGGACAGCGGGGACGGTGTCGTGAAACCAACTGAGCAGTGCTGTAAAAGGGGTAGAGGTGAATTATAGCGAGGAATCAGCACTGGTGAAAGTCGTTACCGAAAGGACCGGTACGTGGGGGAGATCAAGAACTTTCGTGAATGCTCCTACCAGAATGAGCGAACTCTAATTGAGTTTGATTGCCAAATGTCGAGGTAACTTCTCACTTTGTGGCTGATTTGATTGTCAGTTGTGTGGAACATTATTATACACTGTCATTCACATAGCAAGTGGTTGTAGAGGAATTCGACATTCCCCATTCTACTTGGTTTTACCGTGTCTACACAGTTTTTGGCCTTAAAGTCGACTCTAGTTCGACCTCAGGGCTTCTAGAGTCGGTGTACTATGTGGAGATTACATCAAGCCACTCACGTTTCGTCTGGTGGGATAAATGTTGCAGGAATTCGCAAAAAAACAAGGCCCACGTTTACCTACTTCGCGTTATGCGTTGTGTTGAGTTAGGGCATCGATAATTAAGAAAACAGGCGCCTTGGCTTGAGTGCAGAAGGAGCTGGCTGCAGAGACTTACCGACCGCTGGTGGTGATAACGATAACAGCCTGAGCTAAGCACCGATTCGACGCCTCAACGGCAGCGATTGCGGTGGTCAGGGTGGCGTCGGTGGGCAAAGGCAGCACACTCTTGAGGTCGTCAAAGAGCTGGCCATGGAACATGGCGGATTCGGCCTCGCGACAAATGTTGGCCATTGTCTGCACCGCCTCCACGGGATAGGCGCCCTTGGCTGTCTCGCCTAGTGGCAGGAGGGAGGGGGTGCAACATTAGCTAACTACAACACCCAATTAGGTCGGCTTTCCTGATAACCGCGTGTCCTTAAAGTACTGACTTCAGTTACGTGAAGTAGATCCCAAGGCAACCTAACACGCGCGCAGACAATTTTGAAGAAAAGCGACCTAGCTCGGAGTTGAGTGTTTGTTCAAACCATGAAAGCAACTTGAGGCCTCGACAACAGCATTACGTACCTGAGAGCATGACGCAGTCGGCACCGTCAAGGACGGCGTTGGCGACATCGCTGGACTCGGCACGAGTGGCGCGTGGCTTGTAGGTCATTGACTCGAGCATTTGGGTGGCACAGATGACGGGCTTGCCGACAAGATTGCATCGCGAAATGGCCATTTTCTGGGCGAGGAAGACCTTCTCCGGTGGGATCTCGATTCCCAAGTCACCACGAGCCACCATCACACCGTCCGCAGCCTGCACGATCTCGTCAAAGCTAAAGACAACGGACAATGTGAACCGACGACCGCACGTATGCGCGCGCAGAGGCACTCACGAAGACGAGACTTACAGCTTCACGCCCTGGTGATTCTCGATTTTGGCGATGATTTTGATGTGCGCGCCCTTCTCCCCAAGGAACTCGCGGATCTCCTGCACTCCGGCTCGGCTGCGAATAAATGAAGCGAAGATGATGTCCAACTACAACAAACAAAAACCAACAAAACTACAACAAAACAAAAACCACAAGCTCGAAGTGATGGCATTTCAGTTTGTTAAATAAATAATTCACCACATCTCTCACCTCTCAGTTAATTCTTTTTCCGGTGGTATATAATGCGACATTTGACCTGCTTGAATGACAATAAAAGACACCAGACGGGGCCCCGTTTTGAATTAATGGAACGTCCGAAAACAATTTCTAAACGTAGTTTGCGCGTCCTAACCAATGAGTCAGCTATACGCAAAATTACGACTTGTTTTACGACGTCTAAAGAGTGCGGAGAGCCCAGAACACGAAATCCAGGCTAAAAGGTTGATTTCAGTTCGAGATTGAGTGCGTCAATCAAAGTTTATGGCTTCCGTGGAGAAAGCATTTATTGCAGCAACAATTCCTCCAATCGAATCGCCCTGATTGGTGATTGGTGGAAGCAAGATTTTGTGAAGCGGTGTGTACACTTACACACGTCAATAGGTTTTTTTGGTTTAAATGGCAATTTCGTGTGATGAGTCAACAGTATTGGGTGCGTGTGATGGCAGCGGCCAACAGTGCATGTACTTTTAGGGGTCCAAATCACCCAGGTTTCATTCAAATTCAGCTCGACGCAGAACGTCGACGTTCCAACGCAAGGGCCCAATTTTATTGATTTTTTTCGGTCAATTTCTGACGTTTGTGGTGGGAATTCGTCGGTGATTGAGTCTGGCAGTTATTGCCTCCGCCACGGCATGTAACATCAATGACGAAACCGGCAGAATTTCTAATAAATGGGCGCATATTTACGGCAATCCGGTTTGTTTATTAGCTCATTCGAGAGGTGAGGGGAATTGCCTCATAAACACGCAACCACCAGCTCGAACAATTCACGACTCTAGTCGGAGTTTAACAAAGGTGTGCGACTTTTGCATTATCCTCTCTCGACAAACACACAAAAAACTTCCACAGACACTGCAAAAAGCATTCAGACGGCTCGTGATATCGCCCATGACTACATGGTTGTCCTGTAAATATTTTTGTTTATTTCTAGCTGTTGTTCCTGGCTTTTACGAAACAGTGAAATAGGCATCAATGTTACGTCAGGCGCACGTCCAAAGACAGTAAATATTTACGATGGATAATTACGTGGGTTTGACGATAGAACCAAAATTGTTTCCCGACTTTAAAGTTGCACCCCGTACTGCAACGCATGCGACCTGCAGAACCTGGTCGACAATAACTTCCGTCCCCCCATCTTATTGGCTCACAAGTGATCATTACGTTGAAGGCATCAACAATGTCAAAGAGAGTAACCTTAGTGCGGTAGGAAAAACCAAATGATGTGGCTGTCCTGGGCGATTAGGACATTCGTGTGTTGGAAGCGGGTTTTAGTGATTAAATATGTTCCCCTCTCCTGCCAATTAAATGACTACCAATGTAAGGTCACCGGTTGTACTTTTGCGGTTAATGGGAGCGGGGAGAACACATCAAAATCATATCGGTCAGCGGTGTCCTCCCACAAGACGCACTCACGTGATTCGTGTGGGTCAGCCACAGGCCACGACGACAACCCGGTGCTGGTCCTCACTCACCCCACACAAAACGTGTCATCTTCTGCCGCTTCAGCCCGCCCAATTCAGCCAATTGGGACCACAAATTAAGACCATAGTCAAACCCCAAGAGCTCTCGGTGGACGGCGTGTTGTCGCACATGTCTAAAGGCGCTTACGTTGTTGTCAACAGCGAACATGAGGTCCTCCTTGTCCTTCTCAGACATCGACGGCAGATCGACGGGTGCGCCAGGCAGATTGACGCCCTTCCGTGATCCCAACTTGCCTCCGTTCTCAATGACGCAGTCAAGGTAGTCGGGACCTAGAACGGAGGGGACAATTGTGAGGCGCAAAATTACCGTCAGTTCGCCCTGTGTTCCGTGAGAATCGAAACACAATGACATTCGGTTGGGAATGAAGCTTGTAAAAGGCCAAATTAAACAAATGACGAGGCAGATTGATATCAACATCTGGGCTATAAAAGGCCAACAAATTGCCCAGGAATTCCTTTTAATTGGTGAGGGTTAAAGCACGACTGGAGCTCAAGTTGTCTGGGGAATAGGGGCCACACAAAGTGCCGACATCGGTTTGCATGTTGGTTCGAATGAAATTGCTGACCTATTACAGGACAGTTAGGCACGCTGCAGTAAGTGGTCCAAAGCACGAATCACTGATTATACGCGCGTTGGATTGTGTAAACACTAGCCTTAACCCATGAAGAAACGACAAGGTGCTCAGACAGAGCGCTGATGAAGCCATAGCTGAGGTCAGGGGCAAGATATATGGTCCTGTAGTCGCGTGCAGTCGCCACAGTGGATGGTCAATCAATGCGATGTCACAATGCGAAACGTGTGCATTGCGGCCTAAAATAGCACTGCACCAGGTTAATTGAATACGAACAGAGCCTTGGTGTTCACACCGCATGTTATTCATACAGTACAGTGCAAGTTTGAAGCAGAAAATGCCAAAAGGAGCGCAACAACCAGGACCCACCCTTTCCCTTGACAACCAGACAGATGAGGCCGTCGTCGATGAAGACCTTGGAGCCGGGATTGAGCACGTGGACGATACGGTCGTAGTCGACGTACAGCACGTCTTTTGAGCACTTATTCTCGTACGCCTTGTCTGCCGTGAGACGCAGTTTCTCGCCGCACTCCAGCGTCACCTCACCAGTGCCGCTCTGAAAAAAAGCACCAATAATGTATTAGACCTGGAATCCAAGACCTTTCCATGGCACAACGACAACCAATAACGTGGCGAGAACGCAACACTAAACAAGACCGGGCACCCGTGGGACAGACAGTGTATCCACATGGTGTGACTGTTCGTCGGTTCGAGTCCACGTACCACAACTACTTGAGCTTGGAAAAAGGTTCAGGCATTCAGACAGTTGGTTGCTATCCAAGTACCGAAAAGAACGAGGTTTAAATGGGAGCGTGTAGTGTGCGTGTGTGTGTATGCAGCATGCGTAAATATAGCTTGAAGGTGTAAATGTGTTTACGTTAGTCAGTTTTAGACAATGCAATAATTAAAGTGCCGTCACATGAAAGGACAGCAACACACATAGGAATGTTTTGAAATCTAGAGACCTCAAAGAAAAACGAAACGAAATTAGGTTGCACAGGTCGGGAAACCAGTGGAGTAGCCTGAGGTCACAGTGGCTGGTAGGGTTGAATTGTTAACCCTAATATAAGACTAACTACAGCAACAACCGGAGTCATTAGTGATGTCTACAACGCCAGACACTTACTCCGTCAATGAGACCGGTACGAATTTCTGGTCCCTTGGTGTCGAGAGCAATGGCGACGGGCCGGAAAAAGGGTTTGAAGGTCTCCACAGCCTGGCGGATCATTTTGATGGTCTCCAGGTGGTATTCGTGGGTGCCGTGGGAGAAGTTCAACCGAGCAATATTCATTCCCGCGGTCATCATCTTCTGCAGGGTCTCTACACTACGACACGCTGGTCCTGCAACACACAAACATGGCAATATTTACGTACCAGGCAAAATAACTTTGATTGGGCGAGTGCGACTGTCCTATAGGTTTGTAGAAATTTGGAAAGACACCAAAATTCCAGGACAATGAGGTTGTGCAAGTAATTTGTAGACAGAGCGAAAGAAGGGACAATAGGCAAGGCAGTCTGAGAGTACATCCGTATTGGATTGGGCCTACTAGAAAGCCTTACTCCGTTAGTGTACAAAATATGCCGAATTATTGCGTTAAAAAAAAGTTCGATAGCATTAAAAAATTAGTCTACAGGACCACAAACCCATTTATAAGACGTGGATAGCCCACAGGAACAGTTGTCAAAAGGGAGTGCACAGATAGTAAACAGTGGTCACGCGACACTTGTGTCTTTTTTATGCATAATGCACCTCTGACACCGCTGTTAAGATAACACAAGAGCGCTTAAACAGAAGATGAAGGGGTTTTCCGCTTAGACACACTCCTTTCTTTGTGCCTGCAATATACTCATACTTCCTGGTACTAGGGAAAACCACCTGACCTCTCTCCCCACACAGGTAACCTGATACTTGAATTTAGAATGACGCAGTGTAAATAGAATGACATCGCACCGATTGTGCAAATGATGCTTGTGTTACGAATAACACAGGGTTCCCGGTCAATCTCCAGGTTGCAGATGTGCTCGAGAAGAGAACGCGCCGTGCCTTGCTTCAAACCCGGGGATGAAGCGTTATTGCCGAAACCTTTGAATTCGGTGCCGAAGCTTGGAGTGGACGAGTGATAAATTCCTGCCATCGCAAAATCTAAAACAAGGGGATAACTATAGGACGAGGGCGAACACGCACACACGTACAACCAAGACAGATTAGCTAAAAGGACTCCAAACAGCGGTAGAAAAAGCTTGCAGCCTACACGAGTTAAATTCAAGTCTTGAGCGAAAATCATGAAGAGCAAAATAATATCATTAGGGATGCGGCGGTGCGATAGGTTTGTGGACAAAACAGAAGAAAAGAAAAGTGGGAAAAGTGATCTTCTTGAGGGTTATACAGAGAGGGACTCGAAGGAAAACAGTCGTTTCTAATCTTTTGTGATGGGATAAAACAAAAACCTCAAGAAAATTTAACGGTTTTATTGCGTTTAAATAAACGTTCCTTAAGTTCGAAAATGGTGGTAATCTTACTCGACAATATCACAAGACCACGTAAGGAAGCTCGTGCTGAAATAATTCTTGAGGTTCTAAAATTTATTTATACCCACGCATCACATTCACAAGCATCAGAACCAATCGAGCATCCCTGATAAGAGCATAGCAAGCCACAACGAATTAACACGCATTATAAGGTCCGACATGAATATTTACTGCAAGCGTACTGCTAGGACTAAAACCGACAGTGCCATTATATAGCATGTAAAAAAAATAAATGAGCAGTTTAAGCAGTTTAAGTGTGACGACAAATTGCTAAACCTATATCCTATTTACCACACCACGGTACATCCTCCAGTCTTCAGGTAGATAACTGCATACAAGAGGGAGTTAAATTAAGATAAGGAGAAATTGCTGACAAGGGTGGTGAGAAGTTTTGTACAAGGTAGCCTCTAACACGGATTAGTTGATAATTCGTGTAAAAATGAGCTGCGAAGACTAGAACACAGACCTATAACAAGGGACTTAGCCTGGGATAATCAAAAGTGCATAACCTCATTAATGAAATTAAATAACACACCGACATAATTGTACCCACCCAAGGGTGAGTTTTCCACATACAAAAGAGTTTAGTAGCACAACTTTTGAAAGGTTATGAGGTAGTATCAAACAGGAGAGTATACTGTTGCGGGTAACTGACAAAACCTTGTATAATGCATATACATAATGCTGACAATTGGGGGGCACAAAACAGTCCACCTGTACAGAGGCAATGTGCAAAAAACAAGCCTAGCGAAAAGGGCAACGATATTTGTAAAGCGAAAACAAGCGAGCAGCGACACCAGACGAACCTGAAAGGGAGAAGATGGGAACTGAATGATGCGCGGTTATGCTTCAGGGCTGTTCAACGGCCATAACAATTTAAACAACTTGGAAAGTTAATTACTTTCAAACATCTTAAATATTTAAATTAAATGAAATTATTGTTTCACAATCTTTGAATATAAAAATTACATAACTTTACGAGTATTTTCATATGAAAATATCTTTAAATCCATGCCCTTAAGTAAGCTTTTGCTTGCGAAAATGATGATTTAGAGAAATTGGGGATGGGCTCAGTGCAATCTGTTTTTTTACTGGAACCAATAGATTTTAAAACAAGCCAGGTTGCAATATTATCTGGCTTTTTTTCAAAGAAGCTCCAGACACTTGTATTAAATGCTTTCGAATTCTTATTACAAAACCGAACCACTCTTAATAAATATGTATCCGAAAAGGTCATTTGTTTGCTGCAGAATGTTTTATTTAATCAATATAATCATGTGATTTTGCTAACTTTTGATATACGCAGTGGATGTGACTTCGTGTTAGATATTAATCACACAAGTGAAGCCAACTGATGCTCAGCCGGTTGGAAATTTGCCTTTTTATTACGCCGCTAGTATGGTTAACGTTACAATCAGAAACAATCTTACCACCACATCATCTTTTTAATAACAAAGTGATCCTCAACAAAATTTTGACCCCTTAATTCTCGATACCAACGTGTTTGGATTAGGTTTTAATGCATTTACTGTTGGCTACATTATGTTTGTTATATTGTAGTATATGTCACCACTAGAAGGGAAAATTTCATAAGTTGGCGAGGTCAGCCAATTTTGGCACAGCCTGTGTAGTAGCTTATGGTCTAAGCACTACCTTACAACCCTCTAGTTAACAGCCCGTAGCTGCCCGAGGATAGGAAAAGGGAGGCGACAGAGAACACGACCGTTTATTAGAGTCGAACCAGCCAAGTGGCTTTGTGTGCGTATGAGCACGCGTGCATAACAGGCGAATGCTGACAAAAATCAATAACAAAAGGGGATGAGTCATCGCTACACACGGGCCTTCATGCACGCACACTCGCGCGGGGCGGCTGTCAGTCCACTACACCTGCTCCTTCACTAAAATAAGCATAACTCTAGTGCCTTTAAATTTTCGACCGGGAAGAGGCCAGAAAACCACTGAAAACGCCTACTGCTTTTAGAAAGGTGACTATCTTTTTGAGGAATTTCGAGTTCAAAAATAAAACAAATGCTGATGAGTGTTTCATCTCGTAGCCGATGTAATCATCATGCATAATCAACAACCCCGTGTTTTATTATACGAAACTTCCCCACGTTTTTTCGCCTTGTGGCAAACGTTAGAAAAAATAGGTTTAGGTTTGAGTATAAGTAATATTAAAATAGATGTAACATTTTCCTTCAGATATTTGCGAAAGAAACAAACTACAGGTGAGCAAAATAAATGTCCCAATAACGAAGTATTGAGTACAGCTGCTATCCTAATTATCCATGACTATTTTTTTAAGTTTGAGTTGCAATCTAGATAGGATTCAGTCAATTGCTATATGTAATTCAAAATGAACAGACTTGATGTGTGGCATGTGTCCGATTGTCGCAACAATGAGACGATCCGTAGGTAAGTATAAAACGGATAGAGGAAATGAGTACTACTATTACTATTTATAGTAATCATGGACTAAAAAGAGCACAGTAGAGTTATGGTATGCTTTAGGAGGCGAGGGTAATACTTGCATTATAAATTACTCAGAACTCTCGAGCGACTGAAAATCTGGCTAATGTGGGGATTCTGGACACGGGCAGTCAACGTCAATTCATGTTTAATGCTCACGAGAATCGGTTGGCCTAGATGCAAGATTTATTTTGCATCTGAGTAATCACGAATCCGGGATTAACACGGTTTTCGTATAACGCTTGGTCAGCCAGCAGGTTAATCCAAGAGCTGCTTTGTCTCATAGTAATCTTGACTTACAAAAATCGCTGAACGTGTTTATGCAGTCACGTCACACTAAGCAGTTTACAACATTCACTATCAATTGTTATTATGCGCGTAATGCTGCCCAACCTCGTTAAATGACGGCTTTCTCAATGTATAACTCCAAAACGTAAACCAAGCATAATCGGCACCACTCCCGACAGCACACCACGTAAGCCGGAAACGAAACACCACGTGCGTGTGTTTGTGTCTACTTTTGATTAAAAAAAAGACCTCAGGCCGCGCTTGACGTCTTTCCCTCGTTTTCCCGCTCTGTGTTTTTGCATTTCGTCATCAGTCATCAATCATCTCGGTGAATTTTTCATTCAAGTGCATTCGAAAGATCGAAGGAGGGTGTGTGTGGCACTTTACCAAACTGCGATCTCATATAAACTGCTTCATTGGTGACTTGAAATTGGCGATTGAAAACAGCTGGCAGATAGACGGCGGCAACTCAATATCGATTCTTAACCCATGGTTTCTATTTACTAAGTCTTGTCAAGTGTAGGTTATTCCTCTGAGATGTCTGGTTGATAGAAGTAATGCAAATATGGGTTTGATGTTGCATGAATTTTACAGCAGCTTAGAAATGTTGCAGCAGATTACGTGCATGAATCACCAGAGTTCTAAGGGTAGTTTGTTCATCTTCGATCTAACACGGAGCTATTAGGACGCCAGTTATTAAGAAGCTTGAAACGATTCGAAAGACGCAGAGTTCACCTGACTCATGCATTGACTAATACTGCTTTCGTAGTGAATTAAATTCAGCCTCAGGCGGTTAGCCAGTGCGCCATCTTTCGAATGATATCTGGTTTCTCGCTCTGGGGAACCAGCCATGCCTTTCGGCTTGGAAAAATGTCATTTTGACTCTTCTTTTTCCTCCTCCCTCCCCTCTGACACTTAAGGAGGGTATTATCAAAAGTGGAACCCCAACAAGGTGACATTTTTAATCATTTTGAACTTTCGGTTCAGTGACAGAGACTCCTTTAACGAAATCGGTGCCGCATTCCGATTGTGACCCTGCCACCAACTCTGCAATTAGAGAAACGAATTGCGCCATGAGACTGAACAGTCAGACCACTGCAGCCCTCAATAAGGTACACAGGGGTGAGAAGCTGGTAAATTAAGTGGAAATAGGCTGTGTTGTCGCTGAGTCATGTGTAGATCCCCTGCCAACAGAGCGTTCGGCATGCAGTCAATTCGACAGTGGTTTGTTTCCGAATAACGACACTACCACTATTTGCTGATGGAAAACGTAATACACCTTTTTTGTGTCCTCCAAATCCAACTAATGTTTCTCATTGCACCTTTTCTTGCATTGATCCTGATATAAAACAAAAATGCAGAGGTGATTAGGGTATTTGGCATGCTTAAATTCGCATCATCACAGCATCTAAAGACTCTCAGAAGCTTCGTGTTTTCTCACAACACCAAATATTACAATAACTTGGTGAAAATAAAACCTCACAACTAAACTGTGCAACATTTCACACATGTGTAAACGCCACCTGATAGTTAGTCACGTTTATATTAGCAACGGTGGCTATGCTGCAACAAAATCAATAACTGATATGGGATCTACAAAACCAACCACGAATTATTACCAGGGGGTGCTGATTCGTGAGACCATTTGAGGTGCTAAGGTAAATAATATTAATGAATTCGCCCTGGTCTAAAGACGACTGATTTAAAATGCACTCTTTCACGCTCTATGCAAGAGAATCGTTTGACACATATGATGCTTTTAACTGCGTTAATTTTGTTGATTTCATTTCTGACCAATGGCTTCTTGGCAGTCGTGCGCAATGGCTACCCGCAGTGGAGCGATATGACCTTGCGATTGTGGATATGTTGTGTGGTTCGGACACCTATGAGGGGTAATTTGGACAGCGCTTGACTGAGTACCCTCAAGGTCGTTGAGTTGCACATAAACACTGAGGGCGGCATCGATGTGCTGCCAAAAGAACCAGCAATGCCGGTGCAGCACACGATGGAACTACCAAGGCTCATTTCCGAAAGCGCATTGTCTAAGGTGTGGAGAAATCTAGGAAAGAGGACTGCAAGAAAACAGTTGGCAAGATGCTTGGCTTGACTGCGACCACTAAACCACCATCTGGCTTACCCACCTGGGTCGTGTGTGTGTGTGTGTGTGTATTTAAAATTTGACTTTATTGAGATCGGTAAGAAGGTAACCATGCACTCGAACGACCAGTTAACCATGTAGATGTTAGATTATTTACTCGTGAGACTTGTAGTTTACGTAAGGTGAGAATTTAACACTGCAAACTGATTAGTGTTTGGGGCAAAAATGTTAGAGTTGAAACGTGCTGAAACAGCAGTCTATTTTTGTGGGTTAAAATAAATAAAACGATTTATGCATTGTAATTTTGAGTGTTTCGATTTGACGGCTCAAACAGTGGCGTTTTTAGCCCGTGGTTTCCAACGCTACTAAGAAGTTGTATGGTGTTTCTTTATGTTTTAGAGAGCAAATCTAGACCACAGCAAGTCTCGTCATACACTGCAGGCAAAGTTACCAAACTCATTTATTGATCTTCGCGGTGGTGGTGGGTAAAAGTTTTCGAATCTGTGACAGACTATCGCATGCGCATTAGATCTTTTCAATTCATTATCGTAGTTTTGAAGTCCTGATTAGATTCACTCGTAACGGATGACTATGAAACTACTTATACCAAATTGATCCACCAATCAAACCCGCTATCCGATTTGACCGGGTACCTGGTCCGATACTTTAAAACTCACATTAATCGACGATCCAATGCATCAAACAGACGCGGTTTGCCAATCTAATGCACTCTTATATCGTGATACAAGCAATAGATGTTTGTCTGCCCAAATTAACTGAAATGGTTGAGGATTTTTGTTTCCAGCCCATCTAACTTTTCGGTTTATCATGAACGCAGTTTTAAGCTGCTATGTCCGGTCTCTGATACGGTTAGGGCTGTTGTCAGCACGTCTCAGTTGCTACATAGTCACCTCGCAACGATTCGCACCTCATTATTCGTTCACATCGGCACAAAATATCGTTTGGAGAAAAAACGTCTTATCAAAAGACCCTCCTTCAAGAATACGTGAATGTAGAGGAGAATATGTGGCTAAATCACTCAGTATTAGTTTGATTCCGATCGTCAAAATTTACGGAGCACACAGTAGCAGGCTCTAGCCAGGGGGATTTGGCGTCTTACCTGTTCTGATGGACGATGTTTCGGCTATAAATTGTGTGTACTGCTCACATGAGCATTCAAAGTTGTCAACAAATATGTTTAACTAGAGACTGCATGCGCACGATATCTCGTATCGTTGCCATGGGATCCTGATGATGTACAACTCCCAATCGGAAACGTTCTCTACCAATATGACACAATATCGTCACTAGTTTTTCGAATAAAACTGCATGCGTGCACCCTACTGCCAAGGACTAGGATTAATCCCATGACCACACTGAATTAATGTGCATTGTAAAAGAAAATGTTTTTTTGGAAAAAGGAACATTTATACCATGTCTCCTTTTCCTCGGGCCTTTTCAAACCGAGCAGGCATTTGTACAATGCTGAACTTCTAAAATGTGTGGGTTAAGACATTGGAACGCGTGAACAGGCGCTGAATTAATTCGAGGAAGACGTGACAACTGAACGGTATCAGCTGCCGTGATCTCGGTTTGATCTGCAAAGCCGTGATGCACAAGCAATACTGCTTAGTTGTTACGTAATCTGTAAATGTGGTTTTAGTCTGCAAAATTTTGACTGAATCGATTCGATCTGCAGATACCTAGACTCAGCTTCGTTGTTAAGTTTGAAATGCAAGCGGAACGACAGGCTATGGCTCCAGCGCCTCATCAAATGTAGGGTGATTTTAAAACACCTGTATTTGTGGTTTGCGTAGCCGGTTTAAAAAGAACAGAAAATCCAGGAGTTTTAGTTAGTGTATCAAAAGTTTATAATACTAATCATGGAACAATTCTAAATGTGTTGTGTTTCATATGACGTGGCAGATACGGGTTCATGAGGAACTAGTTCGATCATTCTGCGGCTGACACACACACAAGACGTCTACACGTGTTAACAAACTTCTTATGACGTTGTAAGATAAGCTCAGAAGTAAAACTGTGTCAGCGAAAGCTTGGAATGCTTAACTGGATGTTTGATAAGGGATAATAGTAAGCATCCACAGTTTTTCTTAAAACACGTTGTCCGTAATTCTATCAACGGTCTTCATCGATAGTACAGTTTAGATGGAATTATGCCTACGAGAATGTTTATAATGGACAGTTATTTTTAAGATCAGAAACCAGTCATTTATAAGCGCAGTGGTTGGCTAGTTTTATCAAGGATATCTTGGACCCGACTGTACCAGTTTAATCAGTTGTCCATGTGTACAAAAAGGAGGCGATTGCCCACAACCCCGAGTCAAATATTAGGGCAACTTTGTGGAGCCCGCAGTTCAATCAAGGCCTAATCAACAATAATGTAAGACCTACACCTTCTGAGACGACCTCATTGGACAATTCAGCTTCCCTAAAGCGAGCTTTTGAAGTGGCTTCAAATCTCGCGTCATTACTACATTTGTATGGCGTACCACACACAATTACACATTCAGAATGCAGATAATTCTCATGAACTACTGGCTCAGTGGTTTTTGATGTGATTTCGTTCCATCAAAAGTAAGCATTCACGTCGAAAGAGCCACTTTACCCGCATCAGCCGGAACGTGTAATGTTGAAATCGGTTACCCAGGCTACATAATTACAAGCATCGAAGACCAGCTCTGGACTTGTCAAATAGTTTGTTTCAAATCATGTCTCCGAATCAAAAAAACAGGTTTGTATCCAGACAAACCTGTTCTATGAAGTTGCTGACAACACGTTAGCTTTGAAGTTTTTTTAGTGAGTGGTTTGATTTGTTTGGTAGAAATGTCGACGACTTCAGTAGCAGAATATTAAGAAGGGTTTGGAACATGAGGCAGATTTAATGCTAGTTAAAGAGCCTCGTGATGATGGATGGGCAGGTATCATCGTGGTACACTTCCAACCGCATCATCAAGGTTCCATAAAAACATTCCTGGTCCAACGACAAACAACATTTGGGGATGCTCGATCGGTGGTACAAGGTGAAATGACCTTGCATAGGAAGACGAAGGTTAACTGGACAATCGTGGCGTAAAGCAAGGCACTTAATTGATTATTCAACTGGTTTGAGTCAATATGGACGGCGTCAAATGGGTCATGACGTTTTTAAGCAGCGTCATTGTTGGTTAGTTTGATTCATCCTGTGTGATTTAAACGCGTACTATTCGGTACCAACCATGTTTTCAAAGTAGGCGTTTCGCACAGTCAAATTCTTTAAGTGCCACATGAGCCATTGTCGGATCGCCAAGTTGGATTTAATGACACACTGGCCTAGAATAATGCGTGGTGAGCTCTCGTGGATAATTTGCAAGTTTGCCACTTTTGAAACAACTCGTGGGTAATTTTGAGAGATTGGCCAAGCTTCGACATCCAGTCACGACCAATTGCAAGCTTCATGAAGATACTGTTGGCCAATTTGTCACGAAATCAAACATTATCCATACTTTTCTAACAGAGCGATATTCCCGAGAGAGGCCTACATTTAAGCGGAAAGTCGCTTTCGATTTCAAAGATCAGCTGATGTAGGGATTGGACGAGCACTCTGGCACATGACCCCATCATGCGGACAGCCATCTCACAAGCTTTTCATCGACTTCCAAAAGCCACTATATTTGCAGTTACTGCTCTTAATGAGTGAATTGAGTTGTGGCTGAGTTATGCATGACTCGGCAGGTGCGTTAGGAAGACAAGATGATGACCGAAGGGTTCCGGCTAATCGAAAAAGTCAGTGGCCCAATAATCGGACACCTGATCGACCAAGGGACCGCGACACTGTCCGAAGTTTCTTGAACATCCGTAAGCCCACACAACGCGAGACACCAATGAGGCCAAAAAAAAGCAATGAAGTCGTACACATTTACTTCTAATGACAAATGTCGCCTGCTCGTACTTAACACAAGGTAAAAAAGTATGTGTTGTGTAACTTGCGCGAATGCGTGGTCGCGTCTGTGTTTCGGAGGTGATGCACTCAGTAAAACATGGCGTTGAATGTGTAGGCAAGGAAAGACTGGTACGCACCATGTTCGTAGCGTTTTTGAGTGCTATGTGGAAATAGGTGGTGGTGGTGGTAGTGGGTTGGGTGGCGGGGGGGGGGAGGAAGGAGCTGAGAAAAATGCATCGGTCGGGGAGCTGCTGCTGCACCCCCTACCTTCTCTCTCTCTCTCTCTCTCGAATTCCACTTACGACTAAGAAAGCACTGATACAGGGTACTGTCGTACATAAATTGGACACGTCGGCGTGTGCCAGCTTTGAGGTATAACAAAATAAGGAGTGATAGGGATGGGGGTGGGAAACTTAAAAGCGTACCCTTCGGGTGTGGTTAATGTACATGGGGAGACAACGCATCAACCCTCCTTCCAAACAAGTTTGACCTTGTTGAACGGCTTTGGCGTGACCTTGGGAGGCGCTTGTCGCAGGGGCTCTTGAGGCCTTATGCTATTGGTGGGGACTGTCTTGGCAGCAGACGTGGAGGAAATAATTACAGGTGAAAATTGTCGTTGTTGGAAAGTCTGCTGAACGAGACCGTTGTGAACAATCCCGTTAGGCTGGCCGGCCCAATTAAGCTTTCCCCGACGCGTAGTTGTTAGGTAGTTGGCCGAAGGCGTCTGATGCCGGAGAAGGGGAGAGGCGGGACGCGGTGAAAAGGTCCCAATCTGCGAGATTTGGCGACCCTGGACGGCGGCCGCAAGGCGTGAAGTGTATGGGCCTGGTGCCACCTGTTGACGAGTTTGAGAGGGGGTTGTGAAAGACATTCTGGGAGCGATGTGAGGGGACTGAGTACCGTTGCTGTTGTTAACAACGACACGCGCGAAATTGCGTTTTTGGAAACCAACTGGATGGGCAGCCACAACGGGGGAGGGTTTCTGCGATACTAACGGGCTCTGTCTGGTGGTGAGAAGTGACACCGGCAGAGCAGAAGTCGAGTAGGAATGTGGAAGACGTTGACCTTGTTGAGACGGAAATTGGGCAGTGGATGAGGAAACAGGCGTGGGAAGTGGTTTCGGAACTTGGGGGGAGTAGAATTGGTCTGGGTCGTCTTGGAGGCGCGCCAAGCAGGCGAGAACAGCATCCACACCATCTTGAGGAATGAGCACGCCAACAATGCGTTTGCCGTCCTTGGGTTTCAACCGAACGACCTGCATTGACTGGGAACTGCTGAGGCGCGACGACAGGAGTCGCTCGATCGGCGCCCAGACGTTCAGCACGGAACCGCTCAGGACGTAGTATGTTCGCTCACGCAGACCAACCTCACAAATAGCTGATTGTCCCTATGAAAAGAAGACGCGTTTAACCAATCGCTCCTTGTGATTCCAATCCTCACAAGACAATTTAACTGCGTCTCCCCCATACAAAAATAGCCTGAAACGCCATAAAAAGAAGCACGAATTTTGCCAGAGGGAACTGCACACACAACTCCCAGCTTGGATTTGACCATTCAAATTAAATTCTAACAATAGGAGAGATAAATAATCAATGAATGATATTAGGGACTGGATTATCGCAAGAACAACCAAAGGAGCACATTTTGGTGTAGGTTATTTTTAGAGGCGGATGCCGCCAAAAATAGAAATCACACAACTGTTATTCACCGGGTATGATGACTCGAGCACATCGTTGAGTTGTCAAGTGTCTACACAGCAAAGTGTTCCTAACGAAGGAAAAATCCAACCAGTTCACTATTTGAAAGCGTCAAACAACCAATTTCGTGAGTTAGATAGGGGGCGTACGTGGGTGGCAGGGGGGTTACTTATTTAAAGAGTTCAGGTCAAATGCGTGAAGCCACGCCATATGAAAGTTAACGAATAAGTTGGAGTTATCGCGTTTGGCGGATCAAACAAGCATACACAATCAAGCATCACTGCATTGGTGGTGGCTGTTGGTAACAATTGAAGACTTCAAAGGCTATCTAACATTTGGCGGCTCGAATTATGCTAACTGCGGGCAAGGAGGTGATAGATTGACTGGTTCTGAGTATGCTGTGTCGAGAGAATTCAAGGTTAGCTTGTGTCTTGAGGAATGGGAAAAAGGCTAATGTGTCAACAATTTCACACCATAAGATCACAACTAAACCGCAAAATTAAGGTGTCACCCAGATGACTAACCACAATTTTTGTGGAATAATGACGAACATAAATAAAACCTACCTGAGAATTTCTTTGAGCAAGGCGGTGGCAATAATTCCTCTGGATTAGATGAATGCACTTTCTAGCTGAGTCGTTATAGATGCTAGACCAGGCCTCCTGGCAATCAGAGGGATTTGAGACTTTGGCGTAGCGTTCGGTGAGCTTATCAAACTCCATCGGTGTCGACTGCATACCCGTGTTGGGTCGGTAGACGCGGTAGAGTTGTTTGGCCTTTCTACCACCGTCGCCGGAGGCCCTACTCCGCAGACAAAAGGCCAGCAAAGGCATGGCACGCAACGCTGTGCCTTGTTTCGGCATGTAGAACCCATCTTCGCTGCCGTCGTGCTGCGTGTATATCTCCATGGCTGAGGCCCAAGAGACGCCGCGTTGGGTGGTCACCTTGTGTAGGTGGATTTGGGTGGAATCAGAGAGAAAGCGGGTATCGAAGGTCTTGGTCCAAATGATCTCCAGGTTCTGGCCGGTTGTGCCTACAGGTAGCAAGTTGAAAATGGAAGATTACGTGACATTGAGGTAGCACCTACGGGCATCCAATACAGCAAACAGAAACGACAGAACCTATTCACACGGACTTGCGGAGACGCATTGAAGGTGCCGACTAGCACAAACGCGTTGTCCCACTAAATCCATAATTTATAGTGCGCAATTAAGTGAAAGCGAAACAGGGTGATTGAGTGCCCCAAACACGGCACTTGAGCTCAAAGTCAGTGCAAGTTTGGTATAATAAATCACTATACAACTGGCAGAGCAGTCAAGGCTCGACAATGGAATAGAGACATCAACATATAAATTCAGACTTTTAGAATAATGAAATCAAACTTCTAAGCTGAATAAAGCGTGATTGAATGACCTCGATCACAGAAGTAGAGGTGTTACCTAAGTCCATAATCCCCAGGTCAAGACGATTGTCACGTTTGGCACGTCGAACGAGTTCTTCGAGGGTATCGGAAAAATACCGGAAGAAGGCATTCTGTGTGTGCACATGCAGTCCAAGTATCCGATTGAGGAACTTCACCATATGCCGACTGTCACGATCTCGTGTGCGTCCGTTGAAAAAGCCCACGCCCTGGAGACCTGTCTTAACATCAAAGAAGAACTGGTGGTGCGGTCGCATCTTTGGTGGGAGTGTTTCCAAGACGCCGGGATCGTGCGCAGCAGGGTCCTCGGAGTAGTAGTCACTAGGGGGGTTAACAAGACCATCGTCACCCCATATGCAGGCCTTTAAGACAATGTCGAGTGCCTCGCGACCCAACTTGGTGTCGATGTTGAAACGAGAAAGATCTCGGGTTTCAGTGGCTCGACGATCGCCGTGGGTGAGAGCACCAAGCGACTCAAGACGCTTGGCCACCGTGGAGGCAAAGCGCTGTTCTCCAGCAAGGTCAGATATCAGAAAGATGTACTCCGGAGAGCTGACCTGATTGGAACGATGTGTACGTCCAAATTGTTGTATTGCACGATCAGCAGACCAGGGAAGCTCGAGAGTGATGTGAACACGACGCCGCTGGTTCAACACTCTACGATCAGCCTGCAACGAGATACCAGAAGAGGCGGCTTCGGAGACAATTGCGATCAATTTCTCGCCATCCATGAACCGCTGTTTCTCGGCGAGGTTAATGACTTCCATGGCAACGTCACCCTCCCGCCGAGATTCATAGAGAACACGACCCGAGTCGTCCGTAACCACGCGGCCACGGCGTCCAGTCATCTCAGCGACTCTTGAAGGGCCTCCAAGCTTTTCGATTAATTCGTCCAACGAAGAGGGAGGAAGATATTTTCCAAGTTTTTCAATGTGCTTCAGCAATAGAGATTGCATTTCGTTGCATTGTTTCCGAGCTTCCTCTAAAGAACCATTGCCACCCGAGGCAGTCTCGTACTCAGATGATTGCGGACCGAGCAAATACTTGGCCGAGAGATCGCGTGTCGATTCATCCGCCCACAGAGAATCGTTACGCCTTGAAGCCTGTTTCTTCATTGCTGCCTTATGACGGGCTAAAAAACTGTCGCACATCGCATCAAGATCCATATCGTCGAGGTCGTCGTCATCATCCGAGTCAGACCTAGCTTCACTGTCGTAGAACTGCTTCCGTTTACTTGCAGTACCACTTCGCGGTTTCTTCGCACGCTTTACACTTTTGCGACCATCGTTGTTCAACTCAAGGTCTGAGTCGAAGTACTCGGAGGAGGAGCTTCCACCACCATTGCCATTTTTCTTCGTCGTGTTTTCCGCATCGTCATCCGAGTCCTCGTCGTCGTCATCATCCGAGTCGGGATCATCGGAATCGTCTTTTTTGTTTAACGCAGCGGCACCACTTGAATCGGCGTTTTCTTCATCATCGATTCCCGATAGAGTTCCACCAGCAATTAACTTGGCAAGCATCTTCTCCCCGAGAATGTCCTTCAGACCGAGTCCGCTGCCTTGGCCTCCAGCAACAGCGCGACCCGCTCGAGAGAGGGTAGTGGAGGAGGAACGGTCCCCGGCGCTGGCCAGCTTATCACCACGAGCGGTGAAGTTTTCAATATTGGTCTTCGTTGGGAAATACTTCTCTACTACGGACTGTAGTACACCCCTAAAGGAGAGGGTGAAACCAGGTTAACTGACACGTACTGTGAAATGTGTAGCTCGATAAGTGAATATCACAAAAGTGTATTCAATGGTGAAAAAATTAGGAATTGGAAAAGATGACTACAGATAGAATGCATAAAGCTCAGCATGGACTTCAAAATGGCGCCTAAACTAGGGATAACAAACCGGCCTATCGGGTGAATATGGGGATGTGAAAGAAATACGGTGAACTCGTGAGACTGCATGGAACTTACTTGGCAGTAGAGACGAATTCCCCGAGGTCAGCTCCCATCTCCTCCACCTGTTCGAGCGTTTTCGCCTCACCAGTTGACTGGAGACCGATTACAACACACTAGGGGAGAGATTCGGCGGTGGGCTTTACATTGGGTCGGTAGAACGATTAGCCGAAAGTACTGAGCGTCTTACCTTGCCCTGAGAAAGGGCTACTTTGCACAAGTCTACACAAGCATCCACTTTGGCAGCAATGCAGAGGTACTTGAAGAAGCGCTGATGCGCGGACCAGAACTGACCCCACATGGTTTTTCGGAATTTGTCAGACACGTTGAGCAATCGGCAGGCCTCACAAAAGTAGCGATATGCACAGACCCACTAAAATTGGAGGTGTTACAAGTGAGGGGAGTGCGATTACACAAGCGAACACACGTCATCTATATAAACTAGTACATTTTTATTCCTAATAACAGACACATTTTGTATGGGGGCTCAAATTGTATACCTTCTATTAATCGATAATACTTAATATCAAAAAGGTACGGCCGTTTTCTGTAAAGTAAGCAGAAAGAAAGCAGTTGTAATTCTATGGTACAACTGGAGGCAGAAGATGTACTGCGGATAAGGGTAGGAATTTGTACTAACCAAGTCGGCCGACTGGTCGTATACATTGATAAACGGTTGCCCGTTCAGAGTAACATGTTCGATCTCAACGGGTCGTATGCTGAAATTAACACCGTGGAAGCTCAGCTGACGAGCTATGTACATTCCTCGAAGCTTCATATCCATAGCAACGAGTTCCATGCCGCCGACACCACGTCGGTCGAGGGACTGAATAAAGGAGTTGAAGGTCTTGAATGGCGTCCCACCACCCCATAGACCGAGCCGCGTCATGTAGGCCATGTTGCGTGGCTCCGTAGCACCAGTAGCCGAGGCGTAAACGATGCGTGCATTGGGCAGACGATTCTGCAACTCCAGCACCGTCAAACCCGTTTTTGTGGGCTTCTGAGAACCGCTTGGAGTGAGGTTCTTGGCGCGATGGCACTCGTCAAAGACAATCTATAAAGTGATGCGTCCATAGCATGAACAGCGCAACGATTGCACACACAACAGATACCCAGTAGTTTTGATTATGACTACATGTTTTACGGATCCCGTAGATTAAGTCATATACTAAAAGGAGAAAAGATGTGAGCTGAAAAACCGGGAACTACTGGCGTGCACCTTAAACCTAAATATTATTGCCGTCACTCGAAATGTACTGGTTATTAAGCGGGGTATTTAAAAATAGACACTAAGGTAAGTTGACTCCCACGGAAAGTGCCTTTGGGAGAAAACGATGCATCGAGATCTTCGACAACGTGGAAAGCAGACTTGACCTAGGTAAAGTCTTCTTAGAATATCGCGTCAACGAAATGGACCCGCGTTCCATCGACGTCAAGAGCCTTGGCATCAGACCATAAATCGCACATTCCCCTACTCGCTAGGGCCACCTTTACCAGAAACACCGTTTACAGGGGTAAGGTATAAGTCGCCATTTAAGCTTCAATATGAAGTAGTAACAGTGTTGGTGAAGGGAGAACTTACAACGCCGTCAAAGTTCTTGCCGCACCAGTGGACGATTTGCTTGAGGCGTGTCTTGTACTTGGCCTTCGCGCCGCCCTGACTTTCGCCAATCAAGGAGGAATAGGTGGAAAAAAGCACTCCCTTTTTCACCCGCCCATTTGCCTTTCCTGAGATCCTCGCGTAGCGAAACTACAAATAAATGAGAAAGGGTGAGTGGAGTGATCAGTCCCCTCCAACCCCAAATACAAATCAAATTGAATTACTGGCGACACTTCATGACGATTTCAATGTTTTTTTTTGGGAAATGGGAAACAACGACAGACTTATTCCAACTACTGCCTTGTAGATGGAAACTGGATGAAGCAACGATTTCTCAAGCAAAAACATCAGGTCTGGTACGTAATTTTCAGTTTCGAAACATGACATAATTGCCAAATTTAAAGCAACTATCCAGAGGAGTCATTTCGTTTTGCGTCGGAAATTAAGGCATTTAGTCAACCGAGAGATACAATTGAAATATGTTTTGTAAGGGGGATACCCTAACATGCAGATACAACATTTTTGGGGAGAGTTTGTCTAATAAAAATCATCAGACGAGGGAAACTGACTGCAGGGCTGCAGAATACCCACCTTATTAAGAGAGTGAACCTGAAGTTTTTCGAGACCAACATCTCGAAGATCGCGTTCCGCGTCAACACGCAAATCGTTCGACACTGACAACCAGATAGCTTTTTTGCGGTGCTGCATATAGTTCTCGTAAATTATGCCGGCAATGGTTCGGCCTTTACCAACACCGGCTCCATCACCTGTGGCAAAAACGGCAGTTCTAGAACCGACTCGGGAGGCATAGCAACAGGAAATCAGAGCCGCTCAACTTGCAATGGTAATGCATTTGTGAGCATTCACCTTTGTTTTGTAGATAATTATCAGCCAAGCTATTAGATCACTGTCGAATCCAACTAGAACATGGCTTTGGAATAATACTATGTTGCTTGTTATAAGACCAGATACGTCTAAACGAATCAGAGTAAATTAGGTCGATGTAATCCAATTACGCATCGGCTGATTCCGTGATGGTCAGGCACGGAATACATGCCGGAGTTAAATAACTCGGCTACGCACGAACAAACCGAGACTCACTGTTCGTTGCAAAACTGGATTTACGAGGCGTAACACTCGTGATAATCAGCACAAATGAAGTTAACGGACAGAATGGTGATGGCTCACCGATTAAGAAGCCAGCCCGCTGGCCGTTTGGGAGGATACACTGATGCCGCTGACTCGCATACACCACCGCTTCTAACTGGAGAGCGGAGAGCCGTCCACTGTCAATTACCTCGTAAGGAAGATGAAGGTTGTAGTGGATGTCAGGCGGGGAAACACTCGAAAGGGTACTGGATTCAACGATGGAGTCGGGGTGTTTACATCCCAGGCGCACTGAAATGCCAGCAAAGGGCTTATTCTTAACGACGCCGACCTCAAGGAATGAGCAACTCACGATAGCATTGCGTGAAAATGAGGCGCAACTAAACAAAACTCCTACTCTCTACGACGGCGGGGGAATTTCACCGGGACTTGACAACCAAAGACCGCCATGTTCACAGGCATAGGTGGGAAGCATGAGATAGAAACGCATAAGTTACAGCAAAAAGATTTGAAGCTTTGCAAATAGGTATTTTGAGGAATCAGGGACGAATTTAAACTGAGGCGATGGTTACAGGCAGATGAACACAGGCGCAATTTGATTGCCTCGCAGACAACATAAATCTGAACATGACCGCAGGAGAAATTTTTGCAGGATAAACGAATCAAAGCTACCACTACGGCATCGCATGATCGATTTTAAAAATATAGTAATAAAGAATAAAGCAAGCAAAACAAAACCATCTTTTGATTAAAGAAAATGTGTGACAGAAAACTGCCGACAATGTTTACCTACGACATATCGACCCTGGAAAGTCAGACTCAATTTTGCACAAACATCGCGCATCGTATCTACCAAATACGACGCCAAGTGACGCGTGCAAAACACGTCGCAAAGTTCGAGAGTTGTCTCGACTGAGCGATGGACAACGACGTGGTAAAATATTACATGGTAACATGACCATGACTATGCTAAACTGACAACCCATAAACAGCAAAAACGATAGCGTGTATAGTGTGCACACAAAATCTGTAAATCCTTAGATTAATTCTGCCCGATACTCCGGGAATGCAACGCACACTTTGCTGGTGAATAGTCCGCGTATGTCTCCGCCTGAGCCAGATCGTCAGTATCGTCCTCATCAAGTTCCTCATCTCGCTAAAAGTAAAAATTAACGCATTATCAATATAAATCCGATCAAACACAAAGCTCAGTTCACAACTTATTATCACCGGATCACAATAAGCGCCAATGAGATCTTTACGGCACGATTTTACGGTTTAGGAGATACAAGAGATTTCATAGATTTACTTTTCCGCAATATTAATCAATTTATGAAAGAACGAAAACTGAAGTTTACAAGCATGGGAGTTGACGTAAAACCACACTTTAATTAAGCGAAGAGATTCAAATAGGTAGCACGAAAACTGGAAAATGTAGAAAGTGGAAAAAAAGTGGAAAATGTAGAAAAAAACAGCGCAGTCCAAAATCCGAAGGAAGAGAACAATTTGGACGGCAAAATAGCAGCTTCTACCAAACTAATTTCAGAAGTACTAACAGTCGAATGCAAACTAGTCCGGTTCCAAAAGTTATGCCTTAATAACTAACTGTAACGACCGAAGGTGGGCTCAGACAGTAGGTGGCAACAATTACAGCAGCGGTTTTTTGAAGTTTGTAATTGCATGTTGGCTCATAACATGAAATGAAATGAGTTAAAAAGGCTTACCCTTTGAGAAAGAAAAGTGACAGGGACTTTGATTGGAAGTCGCTGACCACTTAGGGGTTGAGGTCTGAACTTCATATCATTTACAGGCTCAAGTTCTACTTGGCCAACACCAGACATATCGTTGCGTCGAAAAAACTTGACCGGCGGGAAAACGGCCTGCTCTGTGCTGGGGCGCTTCCGAATAATATTGGGGAAGCGCTGAGACTGAACGATTTTAGCTGCGTTTACAGTAGAACTGGAGACCTGGATTAATCGACTGGCCATTCGAGGCGCGGCAGTCAGACCAATTCCGGCTTCACCAGTTGAAGCAATGTGAACGATTTTGCCGCCAGAACTGTTGATGACTTTCAAAAACTGCGGTGTGGTAACACTTCTGTTGACTTCATAGGAAGGGGTTTCTGATGAAGGAGCGATACCGGCACTTTTAAGTGCGGTTGCAATGATATCTTCCGGCTCGTCATTGTCCTCCTGGTTGGGAGCTGAATCAGCACTCTTGATATCTGCAACAATCGCAGAATCAGGGGACAACTTGGAGTTGATTGGAGGGACCTTTGTGTCCCTGTCATTATCTAAATCCTTAGTAGCCAAGCCCTTAAGGGCAGCTTCAAATTCAGCAACTGCATCCATTTCCTAATGTGTCAAGGAAAATATCATTAGGGAGGTTTTCGTCGTTTTAAAAAGCGGGAAAACGAATATTTCAGAAGATCAACAAAAAAGGAATCAAAAGCATTTGCAAATCAAATTATGTAACCAGGTAAAAATTGATGACTGTGATACACCTAAAAACTACTACAATTGACATGAAGGACAAGGACACGCTTATACTGCTCAACAAGTGCCCATAGAAATGACATGAAAATGAAAGTACGAGACAGCGGTAAAATAACACGCTGATAAAATGACTACGAGAGGAAATCAGCAATGACAAAGTAGTAACTTATGTATTTTACGAAACAATGCAACATATAACCACATTGACTTTATTAACAATAGCGTAGGTGGCCCGAAAAGCCAAGTAAATTGACTGACACTGCCAAGACGTAAGTATAAAGGGCATATGTGCCTCGCGCTGTGCCATTTCGAGAAATAACATTAAATAGTACTAAATTATACAGACTAAATGATCATTAACACCAATACGGGCACAATTGGATAGTTGTGCCCAAACGGAGAAGACCGCTAAAGCGGTAGACTAAACTGCAATCAGAATCTTCAACAGTGCCTCAGCATGTGTGTAAAACAACCATTAGGGACACCTATGAGCACACTACTCAAGTCTACAGGCATTGACTTCACACGAGACGCATTCCAAAGAATAAACAATAAAACGATTCTTGGAACTTGTTCTTTTGTTCATTGTCTTAAGTTATTTCGACCACCAACCCGGCATTAGAGAAACGACAAAGAGAGGACAGCGCACAACCGCACGTACCACAGGCGCAACACGAACTGAGCCCGGTTACGCAAGGCTGTGACAAATTCATCATGGCGAACGTGATAACTACGTGATAAAGTTAAACAAATATTATTAAAAACATTCAGTAACAAACCCTATATAAAATGTACGCATGCAACTTAAATTAATATATAAGTTAATTTCTGCTTCTAAAATCAATAAAATTTATAAACTTTAAGGAATAATTAATGAAATCTCTTCGGATGATATTGACATTTACATTTTAGCAAGGCTACATCTCTTAGCTTTTAAATAGCAGGAAGATCTTTCACTAAAATTTTGTAGCGTCTACTTTTCTTTTACAATTTTTTTAAATTATCAAACAACTGCGAACCTAAATGCTAAATCTCATGTTGTGAAATATCAGTACCAAAAATAGAAATATGAGATTGGTATTTGGTTAGATGTTTTTTCAAAGAATATCTATTTAAAATGAGAAAGTGTAGGTGTTTATGCAGTGTCTTTTAAAGCAGCATCTAGATTCATCTTCCATTCCTAACCATTTGTCACTGCAAACAAAATGAAATCAATCAACAAAGCGCTGCAATTTTCACATTTTTGATGATAATGCAACAACATTCAACAATAAAATTATAAAAGTCTATTGTGTGCAGAAATTGGATTTTTCCCAAAAGATTAAAACATAAAACTATTTAACTAATTAATCCTGTCACCTTCAGTCAACCAAAAAATAGTGCGTTCACAACCCAAAATCATCATGTCATTCAAAATTCTTTTGAATTTGATGTCTGAGACACTGCTGATTATTTTAGATTAGTATTCTGAAGTGACAAAGAATTAATACAGGTCACTGCTTCGATAACCAGCAAAAGAAATTAACAGAACCAGAAAGTCTCAAAAAGCTCTTTTGCTCATCTAAGAATGAAAAAGAAGGAAGGAATTTAATCTGTATTCTATTTATCTGTCGGAAATTTACAGAGGTGTGGGGGCCAGATGGATGTTCCAGAATATTTAGTCGAGATCTCTTTTTCATCAAAATCATAGAACTAACTGAATTTGCTAAGTAATTTTACATTTTTTTAAAATTTGAATGATACTAATTTTAATTAAACTTTTCTACTAGTGTGGTTTTCGCTCTTTAGGTGCATTCACGTATAGTATGCGCATGAAAAATCGGTATATATTTGAGTAATTTGCATTTACGAAATGTGTTTATAGTATTGTGATGAATTACTCTACTTTATTTTTCCCTTTTCTTCATAATGACGGCCTCAAGTGTTTGCTTCATCGATTTATATGGATTAGTTGTCTTTGAGTTACTGAGAAGTATTGTACACTCTGAATATAAAAATACATTAAAGCTGATTTGTAACAAAAGATCAAAATTTTGGGGGAAATTTTTGTTTGAGGCTTCATTGTGTGATGCGCTGAATTTAAAGTATTTTGGCGAGTTTCTTACAATGGATGGTCTTATCCACTTTGCTGCAAATGCGCTCAATGACAACCCATATTTTAGTGCGGGCGCAGGACTTTTTGGAATGGGCATGGGTGTGGCCTTATTGCGTCGATTTGGCATGGTTGCTTCTTTACTTATCCGCAGGAACCTGACGTTAACAATGGAAATTGCTAGCCATGACACGTCGTATCAGTGGGTGATGCATTGGCTTTCGAAGCGAGCCCGCAGTGCAAACTCAAACAAGCTCCAGCGAGGCGCTGGACAACACTTGAGCGTTGAAACAAGTGTTGTTCGCACAGAGACTGGTCGAATAAAGGCTGCATTTGACTTTATCCCCAGTACTGGTGTTCATTACATTTTTCACCAGGGTCGGATCCTTCGAGTTGAACGCGTTAGATCCCAAAGTACTCTTCAAGGTGCATCAATCGCTCCCTTTGAAAGCGTTACTCTCACCACTGTGGGCTTTGATACTCGGATATTTTTGGACATTCTCGAAGATGCGAGATGTGCTGCGATTGCGAAAGACGAAGGGTGGACTGTCATATACAAGGTTAGTTTATTCTTCTCAAGCTAGTGACATAATGCACATAGCTCACCGTCCAATGTCTTTAGGCAGTTGGACCCGAGTGGCGACAGTTTGGTTATCCCCGGCCACGCCGAGCACTTAATTCAGTTGTTCTCAAAGAAGGACTAGCTGAATCTATTACATCTGATGTACAAGAATTCATTGGTAATGTATTCCGGCACTTGATTCTGTTTAATTTCAGACAGTCAGAAGTGGTACTCCGTTAGAGGCATTCCTTATCGCCGTGGGTACCTTCTCTATGGTCCTCCTGGATGTGGGAAGAGTAGTTTCATAACTGCACTTGCCGGTAATTTGATACGCCTCTGTTTATCATTTAGAAATTAACCACGTGTAATTGTACTGGCTTATCACTTCAGGCCATCTGGAATTTAACATCTGTGTTCTCAATCTCAGTGAAATCGGAATGTCAGCTGATAGACTAGAACATCTGCTCACTCATGCGCCTCTGCAGTCAATTATTTTATTGGAGGACATCGACGCTGCTCTACCAAGCCGTGAAGATACCAACGACACAGCACGACTTCGTAAGTATTTATTTATTCCTGAATGAAATGAATGTTTGTTTGGAGTAGTCCTTGTGTTCCAGTTCCAATTCCGATATGAAACAACGCATTTCCACTGGCTGTTTTAGGCGTAAAATCCTCAATAACACACCAAATTTCTTGGCTTGCACAAATATTTTTATAGATGGCCGTGCCTACGAAGGCATGCAGTCCTTGACACTGAGTGGCCTACTTAACGCCCTAGACGGTGTGGCATCAACCGACGGCCGGATTCTCTTTATGACCACCAACTACGTTGACCGGTAAGGTCCACATTGTCATTGGTAAAATTTGATTTCACAATACCAAGTGCCCCTCTCTTAAAACTGTTTGCTTTTACAAGCGATTTCGGCACTGGGCATTTTTCGGCAGTTGCTTGTACGCGATATGCCACTTGATCCTGCGTATCTTGCACTTGCTTCGAATCACTTAAATGCTGCATTGATTTTCTTGATGTATAGTTATGAAATTGTATGATTTTTTGTCACCAGATCTTGTATCTGATGCATTGTTACAATTTTCTCGAACCAACATTTGCAGTTTCTGTTCAGGCGTGCCTTTTTACTAATTCTAAGTTTCTACGATGATTTATTGGAACGCTTGTTGAGCAATTTAGTTGTGTTAAGCATTTTCTGATTAAGGCATTGTATCAGGAGAACTGATACGTCCAACTTATCACCTGGCCTTAAAAACACTCGTGGATGGCATTTTTGTAGTAGTGGTAGTTGTAGCTTCTGCGATCGACTTTTGTAGACTAGATCCGGCTTTGGTGAGGCCCGGTCGTGTGGACTACAAGGCGGAAATTGGCTTGTGCACAAGAAACCAACTGGTTCGAATGTTCTCGCGGTTTTATCCAGTAGAAACCGCTCAACCTCTGGCCTCTGCTACCCCCTCTCAGCATCCCCTGGCTGAGAGGTTTGCCGAGGCTCTTGGCGAGGGCATAGTGAGCCCTGCTCAGGTGCAGGGGTTTCTGTTGATCCACAAGTCAGCTCCGCACAGCGCCATGGCCGCTTTACCGGAATTTCGTGAAGTCTGTCTTCGACAACGGGCAAAGTTGAAACAGGCCTAATGTGCTTGTATATGATGATCGATTTCTAATGCAAACCTAATTCACTACCTGGCTGTTTGGTCCTGTGCATTTGGTTATTATCAGAAGTTATTTAAGATGCAGTTTAGTTCAGGGAATCGCCATCATTTCAATCGGCTTTAGTGTAAACCGTTTTTGGTGCTAAGACAGCACAAAATATACTGCCACCCACGAACGAAACTCGAACTTTGATGGTGCGAGGTGTATCGGTGAGTGGAGCGTGTTCACGTCAGGAGGTGTCGTTTATTCGTCCCAGAGTTGCAGTGAGATCGAGGTGGTGGTTTTCGAATCTGCCACTATTCCGTTTCGACTCAACCTGACCATGTTTACCTTCATCGTGGGGACGTCTCGAACAATGCGAGTATTTGCTCATACATGAATCGGTCTACGCTATCGCGGGATCCTACTTCCCAGCTAAGTTCCATGCTTGCATGTTAGGGGAACCAGTAGTGAGTCGGGCTTATTCACGTCCACTGACCCGGTCGTCGCATTCTCCGCCACACTGACCTTTTCACTGCGTCAGCATCGATCACGCGAGATCGTCCGCTCATGCATCCATGTGCGTGTGATTCCTCCACGCTTCTCGTTTTATTAGCCGGATTATTCTAAAATTTGCACTTTTACAGGTTGGGCTATCTAGTAAATAGTTGTGTCTGCCGTCTCTGGTCTTCTTGTCTTTCGTGTATCAGAGCAGAGTAACAGGATCAAGCTCAACGCACCGGCTCCGGAGTCGTTCAAGACCACAAACGAAGCCCTCAACAAAGCCATTTATCGGCTCTGTCTTATTGTCGAGCCTTCAGTGTTGCCAATTAGTAGTCATTAACAACACCTATATTCTAGTCAGATGTGAATGGGCATGCAAAATCGGTTGGCTGTTTTAATCTGGTGGACTCAGCACAAAACCATTTTTGTAGATGCACGAAGGTGTCGTGATTCGTGTTTATTCACACCTCTTAATCCGGTCGCTCCACATCTGACACAGGGTTCCCCCTTTTCTCAACATGTCGCCAGCCGCGCAGATCCTCAACTCCCCCCTCATTGTCAGTAGCATTTACCCCGGATTATCCTCACCCCTAGGTCCCGATGTTAGCGCATCTATGACTCACATATCCGAGCTATAAACCCCACACACGACACAACGACACCAACGTGGTTGAGCTCTGAAGTAAAAGGTTGTGTCCACGTCCTCTGCGATCTTTTTCTTCATCGCGGGTATCAGAGAAACGTAATCGGTCAGGGTTAATTCTGTGGCCCCGGCGTGGTTCAAGACCACATGCCGGGGCCCACACCAACAAAGGCATTGTACTTTTTCTTAGTGGCTATCTTCGCGGTGTGTGCTATATACGAGCAAATTCCTTACATCTCTAGGCTCAAACACAGCTAGAAGAATGTGGCTCGATCAATGCCTAGTTTCACTTTAAACTGTTTTGAAGATTAAATCTGAATCAGTTAGGAGGGAGATTACAGATCGAAATTCGATAGAACCAAAATATGAAACCCCAAGTGCTAACATGAATTTCGTCCGGTGCTATCTTTCATCCTGAGAGATAGCAATAACATTAACTAGTCCCTTTGAAATAGAAAAGATCATAGTTCTAAGGTGTAGATGTTGTTCGACGATTAAGTAGCAGGAAGTCCGTGTGCTCGATGTGAGTGTACTTCTACCATCAAAAGTGACGATTTGTTGTGCATCCACATACCATAGCCTTAGAATCCCGTAGGCGTTTTCGATCACATTCAAATGGGAGCTGGCCAGTGCAAACTTGCGTTCCATTATCCGCAAGGCTTGTGAATTTGAGGCAGTCTGAGAACAGTGCATGGTCACTTGCGTCTTGCGTGCATCGATCTACCAATGGATTGTGTTTAGTGGAATTATCCGAAGGCGCGGTGTGTGCGGAAGGAGGTAAATAAGACAGTAGACTTTCTTCATCTCACTGGAACACGAGCGACTTGAATTACCTTCTGCCACCTTTGTTCTGTAGCTTCCAATTTCTGTGGCGAGGAGGGCCTATTTTATGCAAGATTTTTACCTCAAACTACAAACACACATATGTGCACTAATTCTGGACCACAAAGTGGCCACCAGAATTGATGGAAGTTAACATTGTGCTACTCTCTGTAAATCCGCATCTATCTATCTTAATCACCGAATTCTGTTCATTTCCTTGCTCGGGGGTTTCACAACACCACCGCAATCTTAAGCAGTGTCTAAATTCCATCATTCTCTTAGTTTGTTAGTGGTGTGTTTTGATTCAAATTGATTCTGTGAGGTCATTCACTTAACTCCTTGCCCCTTTCAACCGCGTGCTTGATAAACAGTTTTTCACCTAACGGTGATCCAGCCAGTTGTAATATGCGCTTCTTGACTTGATAATGCATAACTGCCAGGTGAAAGTAGAGCGACGTCACGGTCCCCCCATTTCTTACATTCGCTTTCACCACTTCTGCGACGTTTCAGGCGATGACACATTTAACCATTTACCTCTAGCCTGAACTCAGACGATGTAAATATGTGTAGTGGACTGACAGCCGCCCCGCGCGAGCGTGCGTGCCTGAAGGCCCGCGTGTAGCGATGACTCAT